GTTGCAGAAGATGACCTCGGCTTCTTTGATTTTGGGGATTCGGATGGCTGGGCCTCAGAACGCCTCTTCCCAGCAGCGGATTAGGACTTGTCGCTCTCATGCAATTTGGAAATCGGCAAGGGGTCCTCAGTGTCGACCTGAGTCACCTTTGCCTTTGGTTGAGCCTTTTTTATTCTTTTTTGTTTTGGTAGAGGCTGGGTTTGCGTTGGCTGAGCATCAACAGTTGACGGGATGCTGGCCAGAAGATCTTTTGCAACAGCTCTTTGACGGCCCATTTCGGCAGGAAAAGTGGTTCGTCGCCGGCGTTGACATTGGGATATCGAGATCAGGTATGGAGCTGAGGTTGACGGCTGCTCAGCGGGATCAGAGGTTGATCATTGGTCTGTCCGAGATGTGGGCACGACTTCTGGAGTTGTGGCGGAAGGTGGAGAAAGGCTTTTCTTCTTCTTCTTTGGAACGTCGGGAAGAGCCGACTTATACATGGGAATGAAGTTAAGAAGCAGAGGGGCCTTTCGCTTGTGAACCGGCAAATTCAGTAATTTTTTCAAGTCTTTGCTGGGGAAGAAAGACTGACGAAAGCCCTTTGGTGGCGGAGGAAGAACTACAAAAAAGAAAAAAAAATAGACATTAGAGCAAGAATGTTGAAAACTTTATGCAAGAAAGCAAGGAAACTTGTGAAGCGTGGCCCTTAACAGCTCCTTCCCCAAAAACTGTTCGACTTAGGGGATAAAGATGAAGGTCATCGTTTGGCTGAAACTCCCAATTACCTGAAACGATGAAGTAATCATCCTCCGCTCCCTTGTTGGAGTCCGGAAGGTCGGCAACAATTTTGTATTCCGTAGACCTCGGCTTGAGGTAATAGATATGGCCTTTTTATGATTTCATAGTATAACAGAACTGGAAGTCGGCAAGAGTGATCCTAGCATTCTCCTATTTGGCTAAGGCTATGGTACCATTAATAATTCGGTAAGAATTACTAGCAAGTTGCATTGGGTTCAACCTATAAAAATGAAGGATTTCACGGAAGAAAGGGTTAAGTGGAAATCTAAGTCCACACTCAATAAACGCTACTACTGGGAAAGGCATGAGGTTTACATCGGGCATAATGGAGTCATCATCCCCAGCAAACCTCAGATGGACGTCGGCGGGGATGAAAAATTCTCGATTAAAGTATTCCAATTTTGATGGGGTGTCTACTCTATGTTTCCACATACTCATGATATCGGCTTAAACTAAAAAGGTTGGATTTTAAAAGGGGTGTCTCTAAAGGGTTTTCTATGGACCTCGGCTAAAGCTGGAAGATACACAAGATGTGTGGGAATAGTTTCGGTTTTCCTAAAAAATCGAGAGTTCTACAAGCAAATCCCAAACCTAGATCTATGAACGCAAGGATTAAAGATGAGAATCTGGAAAAGACACAGAAAACAGAAAACAAGAACGTGTTTCAGAATCAAGAACAAGGGTGAACTACTAAGAACACTGTGACAGAGTGTGTGAAAGGGTACAAGGTCAAGAACAGTTGCAAAATTGCAGAAAAATTGTGAGCAGTGTGTGCTTTCAAGACATGAGCAAAGGCAAAATCGTGAAATAAACACATTTAGATGCATGATTCATAAACCAAATGTTTGAGTAAAACAACAATGGCAGCTAATAATGAAGCAGAATTTCTTGAAAAGCAACAAGAAATAAGAACCAGGAGAAACAGTGGCTTACAGAAAGAGGAAAGCCGGAATGAAATTTGTCGAAGTCAGACGACGGTTGCAAAGACGGAAGACCGGTGGAAATCACGCCGGAGGTGGTAAATGAAGCAAAGTTACAGAGCTGAGAGAGCTTGAGCAATGGCGGGTCTAAGGAAGAAAGCTAGGGAGAGAGAAAACTTCAGAAACGATAGGAAAAGTAAAAAAAATGGAAGAGGGTGAAATGATTATTGTTAAAACATGGAAACGACGGCAAATGAGTCATTAATATGCCTAGAAGAACGTATGTGTCAGACGGCGCATGTGAGAATGAGACGGCCTACAGGCGCGTCACAGATACGAACTAGCAAGAGAAGGACACGTAGCTGAAACGGTTGAATTGTGATGCATGAGAGCTCATACGCGTGAAGAAGTTCTTAGAATTCTTGATATTTGAGAAGACATGTCGGCCAAATAGTGATTAGCTCTGCTTAAGCCGATGTACTGGCAGGAAGTACCGATATATGTTCCATTACCTCAGAATGCCGAGGTAATAGAACCTAGGGGGCAGTTGTGGGAATATATTTTCTGAGTCCTAACACGTGGCCAAGGTGACGCCGATGTGTCAGCCGAGGTGCCACATGTCCAGGACATGACGTCGAGGTGATCTCGGCAAAGCCGAGGTTATCTCCGAAGATATCGGAATCCGAGATAAGCGGATAAGGGACAAGAATCCTAGAATAAGGAAGGACTATAGCATGGATAAGGATAAAGCTCTTAGGGAGTTTATCTTTATCTCTTAGAGAGTCCAGGATAAGCACTGAGCAAGAGTCCATTGAAGCTAGGCTTCTAGTGGGACAATGATTGAGTTAATTATAAAAGAAAGGCACCCCCATGGGTCTAAGGTACGCAATTTATATTCTGAATAGTGAGTTTAATACTATTGATTATCTTTGAGAGATATACTGACTTGATCGTCGGAGTGCGCCCAGGTGGACGAACCACCACCGGAATCTTCTCTTTCTGTTGCAGGTCAGCTTGGTGTCATCTATTCTGCCAGTTCTATCCAACTGACTACTAAGTTGGGCAGTGTGATCGGAAAATCACTCACGCAGTTGCTAAAATTAATAATTAGTGAAATTTTTTAGTAATATTTAATAAAAAATGTCATTAATTCGTAGAATCTATTAGACAATACGTACACATATTAAAACTTATACGTAAATCCCCTAAAATTATTGTAATATATTTATTTTCCAAACACCTAATATAAATATAATGGATCCTACACATATTATTTATCTTTTTATATACAAAAATTTCTCGCACATGACACACCTTTAAAATACATATGCGAATGTCAGGTCTCGTTTAGGAATTAATTATTTTAGCTAATAAAATAAAAGATCATTATAAATTATATCACTTTTCTAACTCTTTAATGGGTGTTTGGAAAAGTTGGTAAAAAGTTAACTTTTTGATTTTTTAGCTTATTTTGTCTTTTTGTGAGTAAGTTATGTGAGAAGTGATATGACTCAAAATTGGTAAAAAATTGGAAGCTGGCTTTTTACCAGCTTCCCAAAAGAGCACTATATATTATTTTTTGAGATGTGACTGGCACCCCTTCAATCACCAACCCCCACCACCCCCCACACACACATGGGGGTTAGTGATTAGAGGAGGAGAAAAAATAAAATAAATAAATAAATAAATAAATCTGGCCAATCAATCCAAGAGAGGGTCGTGAGGGTGGGGGAAAAGGGGGTCCGGATCATTTTTGTTATTTTTTTATAAAAAATCAAAAAATTACTAAAATGACATGTTACTTTGGCCCTGTTTGATAGAGTTTTTTTTAAGTTAAAAGTTGATAATTAGAAAGCAAAAACTATAAACACCTCTGCCCCAGTTTTTAAATAATCAATTTTTTTTCAGCTTATTTAAGTTATTTCTACCTAATAAACCATGAGGCTGTTTGGTGCATCAGAAAGTAGAAATCAAAAGTACCCCTTCCTCAATTTTTAAATAATCAACTTTTCTCAACTTATTTAAATTATTTTTATCTAAAAAACTATAAGCTCAGAAGCGACACCAAATCATCAGACACATATTTTCAAATTAAAATAAACTATAATCACCGCTCAATAATCCACACCAAATACCATCTGTAAATAAAAATTGTACCAAATAATATAATACATACTCCAAAATCAAAATACTCTGGTGTCGTTTGGTAACACTTACGTTTTCAATTTTCTGTTTATATTTACAAAAATTTAAAAAACTCAAATAAAAACTTGTTTGGTAAATTTTTGATTTATAAATCAGTGGTCTCAGTTTATAAATTTTGGCCAAAAGATGTAAACTCAAAAAATGTGTTTCCGTTTTGAGTTTTTTTTTTTTTTTACCACCCAACACTAACCACCACCCGCCACCCATTTTCCACTACCGTCTTCCGCCACCACCACCCACCCCCCACCACCACCTACCACCACCACTCACCACTCACCTGCCACCACCAGCCACCACCGGCCACCACCCACCTGCCACCCACTCGCCACCACTACCCACCCCTCGCCACCGCCACCACCACCACCACCCACCCCTCGCCACCACCACCACCACTCACCTGCCATCCACTCGCCACCACCCATCACCCGCTACTACCATCCACCGCCCCCCACCACCACCCACCACCTACTTGCCACCACCACTTACCACCCACCTACCACCACCATCCACCCCCTGCCACATCACCACCCACCACCACCCGCCATCCGCCACTCACCTGCCACCACCACCCACTCGCTACCACCCGCCACCGTCACCCACCCATCCACCACCACCCGTCACCACCACCCACCATCACCCGCCATCCGCCACCCACCTGTCACCACCACCCACCATCCGCCACCACCACCCACTCGCTACCACCAGCCACCGTCACCCACCCACCCACCGCCACCACCCGCCACCACCATTCACCCACCACCACCCACCACCAACTGTCATCCGCCATCCGCCACCCACCTGCCACCACCACTCACCACCCGCCATCGTCACCGTCACCCTTACCCACCCATCCACCCACCCACCACCTACCTGCCACCACCGCCCACCACCCGTCACCACCACCCACTATCCACCGTCTTCCGCCGCCACTTGCCACCACATGTCATTTCTCACTTTTTTTTTGATATTTTTTAAATATTTTTTCAATTACCAAACATATTTGTAATTAATATTTTTCTAAAAATAAATAAAAATTAATTTATAAAATTTTATAAATATAAACTAAAAACGTAAACCTTACCGAGCAGACCTCTATAATCATCCCAGCAACAAAACAGTCCCTTTATCGTTAAGACTGACTTTCGAAAGAAAAGCAAAGCCCTTCTAAAACCCTCATCTTCACTCCACCACTTCCCAGGTACAGAAACGTCACCAAAAGTCACCATGTATTCAATTCTTCATTCTCTCCGGCGCCGTATCCACCACCACCAACGCGAATACCACCGCACCTTGGTCGACGTCGCAGCCATCAAATGGGTCGGAGACAGAGGCCTCGACCACGCTGTCGAGAGAGAGAAAGACCTCAGACCCATGCTTCACCTGAAGAACCTCATCAAATCCGAACCTTCCAAGTCCCTCCCACTCTCCATCATCTCCCAAAACCGAGAATCCCTCGGAATCCCCACTCGCCCCATCGATTTCATTCGCAAATACCCCTCCGTCTTCGAAGAATTCCAACCCGGCGGACTTGGAATCCGCCCACATGTCAAATTGACTCCCGAAATCCTCGGCCTGGATTCCGAAGAACAGTTGATTCACCAGAGCCACAGTTTCAAGCAAGAATTGGCTGATCGGCTTTTGAAGCTGTTGATGTTAGCTCAAATCAACAAAATCCCATTACACATCATTGATTCTTTGAAATGGGATTTGGGTTTGCCCCAAGATTATATTCAAACCCTAGTCCCTGAATTTCCAGACTATTTTCAGGTCAATGGAGCCGGTGATTCCAATCATTCCTCACTGGAATTGGTGTGTTGGAGCAGTGAATTGGCGGTTTCGGTGATGGAGAAGAAGGCAATGAAAACCGGGTACGAAAAGGGTATGCCTATTTCATTCCCTTTGCAATACTCTAGAGGTTTTGAGATTGATAAGAAATTCAAGAAATGGGTTGATCAGTGGCAAAAGTTGCCTTACATTTCTCCATATGAAAATGCATTGCAACCTTTTTCGGCCAAGAGTGATGAGGCCGATAAGTGGGCAGTTGGGGTGCTTCACGAGATTCTCTGTCTTCTTGTTCCGAAGAAGACTGATAGAGAAAATGTACTTTGTCTTGGAGAGTACTTGGGGCTTCGATCACGGTTTAAAAGGGCATTGCTTCATCATCCGGGTATATTTTATCGTTCGAGTAAGATTGGAATGCATACTGTAGTTTTGAGGGATGGTTATAAAAGGAACTTGTTGATTGAGAATCATACATTGATGGATATGAGGTATAAGTATATTCATCTTATGCACTCAGTGAAGGAAGATAAGAAACCAAAAAGTGTGCAAGGTGGGAGTACTCAACAACAAAAGCCAACCCATGATTCTAAAGGAGAAGTCCAAGAAGATGAACAAGATGGGGAGTTACATGGGTTGTCGGATTCTGAGATTGACGATGTTAGTGAAGATGCCTATGATGAAGAGGAGGATGAAGATGAGATTAAGAAATTTTCCCGTGTGAATGCTGGAGGTAACAGAGATCCAACAAGGAGGAATCCAGAATTTAGGGCGAAAAGGTCTTTAAAAACGTCTGTTGGAAATAGTTTTGATAGAAGATACCCCAACAACACTAGGAAAACGGAACCCACAGAAGTTTCTAGAAGAACAGTGATGCAGGGTAGGGGTAGGTCTTGTGGGAGGTCACCAGGGAGATCAGAATTTTTGAGAAACAGAGGGAGGTCAAATTTGGACTCAAGGACTTCTGCATAGAAATGATACTGCTTTTTGTCTGAAGCATACGTTGGATAGGTTTGCTTCTTTGTCTAGATCTCCTCATTGATCATTTTCAGAAATCAGCATCTTGTATTTGTTGCAAGTCATTCCATTAATGTGCTTAAAATGCTAGTGTGACTGTTGTGCCCATAGTGAATGTGGTTATACAATGATGAATTGTGATTATATCTTTATTTATGCATGTATGGTTTATATATTCAAGGTTTTCTATTGTTGCTATTTTTGGCTTTCCCCTAAAACACGAAGTATGCAAGAATCTATGTAGGCACATATACAATAATACAGCATTCTAGATGCAGAAGGTTAGAGAAGTAATGTAATTACAGTTCCTGCATCGGCCAACTTCACCTGATTCCCCACAATTTTAAATCACGGTATTGGCCAATGTGATGGACGTGGTCGTGGTGTAATGGCGTTAGACGTATCAACCAATGTGTAATGTGAATTGGAATTTGAATTTGAGGATTTATTTTAGCACTAGGAAACACCTTAAAATGCATCGATGTTTTGACCATATTTTATCATATTTTGATGTTTGTAGTGGTTACTGGCAAACATTTTGGGACCAAACAATATGTTTTTCAAAATATATTGAAATGTTTATTAGTTTTAGGGTAAAGAAAATGGTTAATTTAGTCTATTGGTTGATTTAATCTGTTAAAGGAATTTCACCATTTAGAATAATTAAAGATGCTACGATAACATATAGGTCATAATAAAAAGTAAACATGAGCAAATATTTGCCAATACAATGTTATTACAAATAATTGGATAATGTTAATGAACAATACGTGCTATGGGCTACATCAGTACATCTATATAACACAGTATATATACTTTTGCCATCTCAACACAATAAGTATAAAGAAAACAACAATAAAAAAAAAAAGTCTTAAGCGTTATGCATTCCAAATCTTCTTCAATCTTCATACAAGACTCAAGAGCCATGCAAATTCCAAGAAGTCCCATCCAAATACCAAGTGCATCTTTAAGCAAAAGCACAAAAAAGACCTCAAAATGGTCATAATGACCGTAACGGCAATGCCATTGAGTAATGGTCATTACGATTGTTACTACTTCAAAGATACCTTTGAAGCATTTTTCAAACACCAGAGTAAGTCTCTTTCCATGAATTTGTGAATCGGCAGGATGTTTTTGTGCAAATAAGAAACAATGGGTCAATATTCATTAATTTCACTATAATTGTGAAATATTTATAAAACACCTATGATTTTTATCTTCTCCAACAAATAGGGGTGTAATCGACTCAAGTAGACTCAAAGCCCATTATGTAACATACATAAAACCAAGGACCTACCTTTCTCATGTTGTCAGTGCTGGAACGCTTAATGGAAAATGGTATGGCACTTCGATTGAGAAGCACCTATTGATAATTATTAAAAAAAAAATGAAAAATGAAAAAGGGAGAGGCATCCATTGATGGAGGAAGAACAAGCTGGGGAATTGTATGGCTTGTCAGATTTTGAGATTGAGTGCCTATGATGACTTTGATGTTATTGACTTATTAAGTCTGTTTCCATGAATTTGTGAATTGGCAGGATGTTTTTGTGCAAATAAGAAACAATGGGTCAATCTTCATTAATTTCACTGTAATTGTGAAATATTTATAAAACTCCTGTGATTTTTATCTTCTGTAATCGACTCAAGTAGACTCAAAGCCCATTATGTAACATACATAAAACCATGGTCCTACCTTTCTAATGTTGTCAGTGCTGGAATGCTTAATGGAAAATGGTATGACACTTCGATTGAGAAGCACCTATTGATAATTATTAAAAAAAAATGAAAAATGAAAAAGGGAGAGGCATCCATTGATGGAGGAAGAACAAGCTGGGGGATTGTATGGCTTGTCAGATTTTGAGATTGAGTGCCTGTGATGACTTTGATGTTATTGACTTGGAGGATGAAGAAGAAGTGAGACAACTGATGAAGGATAAAGGCCTTTAAGAACAATGAAGGATAAAGACCTTTAAGAGCAGCAGATAGTTTAGCTGGAAGATGCCGCAGTAAGATGAGAAAAGCCCCCTGAAGTTTCTAGAAGAGTGATGCATGTTTAAATAGCAAAAACAAGAAGGGGAAAGTTAAGAGAGTTGAAGGCAGTAGTAAAAAAAGGAATAGGGAGTTGAGAAACTTAATCTCTTGGGTTAATTATGATGGTCACTCGAAGGAGGAGAGGAATAGAGTTGTTTCTAAATGAAGATAATAAGTTGGAATGTAAGTGGTCTTAGGTCTAGAAGTGAAGGCGTGTGGTTAAGGAGGTTTTGGTTAGGAATAGTCCTGATATTGTAATTTTGAAAGAGACGGAGATTGAAAAGTTTGATAAGAAATTAATTGAAAGCAATTGGGGGGATTAGATGTAGGAGATGGGCAACTGTACCTTTATGTGGTACATCTTGGGGATTTTAATTAGTCAGATACATAAATGATGTGAACAAGGACTTGTATACGGCATATGGGGTAAAGACAAGCAAATTTTGCATCAAATAGAATTACATCAAGGATCCACAATGAGCCATTATCACTTTGTTTTGATTGTTTTAAATTGAAGATGTCTTGTGTATGTATTGCCACTAACAATATATAATTTATTGAAACTGGTGGGGGCTAAGAACATAGGGAAATACTTTTTGAAGGTCCTAGAGCAAGCCCAAAAAAAAAAAAAAAAGCCTGGAAATTTCATGTTATTGAAACCAGAAATGGACATGATTGTGTGAATTCGGGGCTGAGGATTGACCATTTCCATGATGACAAATTGACTATTCATAGGGAAGAGGATTAACTGTAAGTACAATGAAGGCTGTAAAGATTGTAGGTCAGCGGAATGAGTAAAGAAATGACTGCTGAGGATGGAATGTGAGATTTCTTTCTGATAAAGTTGAGTACTGAAAAATAACTCATGTAATTTTGAGATGTTAGGTTTGCGGTTTTGAGATGAATTGATTAATTTATTTTAATATTCCTTTCTTTTTCTTGGATGGTATTCTACATTTTTACTGTAAAAGTTCAAGAACTATAGCTGCAGTTTTAGAATTTGCATATTCGTAGCAATGATGGAAATGTTCACAGATGAGTTGAAAGACTTGGAGATGTATGAGCTAAAATGGATGGATATAACTTCCTTTCTTGTGATAAGATAGGGAAGAATGTTTAGGCCAGCTTGGGAAAAGTAAAATAATTATAAACAAATCAAAATAAATCAATGACACTGTTGTTAGGTTTGAGCTCTTACACTGTATTTGGTTGGGAGATTTGGGAAGGGATTTAGAAAGAAAAAGGGAAAAGGTAGGTGAAATGTGAATAAAATATACCTACATTTCACCTAGTTTCACATACATTTTCTTTTTCCCTTTCCAAATCCCTTAACCAAACACACCATTAGGGTTTTAATTTCCTAGAAGGAGTAGTCAAAGTATGACAACATGGTAACTATCAGTCTATTTATCAGCTTAATTTTTAACCAGATTTATGTGACTGGGCAGAGCAGATTGCAATACACCCACACTTTGAAATGCTAAACATGGGATGAATCTGTGCTCCGTGAGAGCTTCAATCAGCAGAATTCCTTAGGTTTTGTCCGAGGCCATTTGTCATGGACTGCCATAGTGTGGTTGATGATTTTCCACTGACTTGATAGATATGGGTTTGAGAAGGCCACTTCCTTTCCATTTCAGTGTGTCGTGATACTTCACTATTTGTATGTGAACAAGTTTGTTTATATAAGAAATAACCTTTGGGTGCAGAGACAGTTCTCTGTCACCCTTGATTCAGTCAGCAGTTATTTATTCTTCCTTCTCCATAGGTAAACCCATAACCATTTATAATTGTAACTTGGAACTTAGAAGTGATCTCGGATTTTGGATGTTGCCATGTTTCAAATATAAACTTCAGACAGCAATAATTATGATTGGAGTATTCATAATGGAAGCCACGTATGCAACAGGTGATGTGCTAAGTTTTGGTGATAGGATGCCATGTGACTTTGGTTAGTGCCATTTGGAGATAGCAACAATGAAAAATTTCACGGGTTGATTATGCCGTGACTGTCTTATTCAATCTATAATAATGAGAAGTGTTTTTTGCACCTTTAAGGGAGTATGATATTCTTGTGTCATGTTAGGCTGGAATGTGTAAATTAAGTTTTTATCAACACAAATCAAGTTATGGTACTAGCCATTCATGTTTGGTGTCTGAACATCATCAACCTTATCTGAAAAGATCTGAACTCTTGAGGGTTTGATGCTATGTTTGGTTTGAAACTCTTAGGGTCGTTTTGCTAACCCTTTTGGAAACAGTTTTGTTTTGCATTCTCTGTTGTATTCCAGAAAACATAGATAAGAAAATTTTAGCATATTTCTGTTTTCGTTTTTTCTTCTAAAAAATCCTGTGTTTTTTGTTGCCTTTGAATGAAATTGTTTAAAACCATTTTTGGCTTTTTCTCATACAAAGCAATTCTCATTTCTTTAAGAACTCTGAAAACACCAGATTTCATTTACTGTTCACTAACAAGGAATTCCATGTTCGGACTCTATTGGCAGTGACTTTCGCCATCAAGCGTGATCTCCAATGACTGAATTTTTTGAATAGCTATGAAAACGACATGGCTGAACTGATGATAGATGAGAAGGGAAGACAAGACGAACAAGTAGACGAAGCAAATCAAAGGCTGCTGATGATAGGATTAATTGTTACTACGTTAGTTTCTTGCTGTAAGTTTTCAATACCTTGGATTTGAATCCATCGAATGAATCTGTTACTCTGTTTTTTCTTTCTTTATTTCTTCCCAAGTTCAGTTTGTTATTTGTGCTATTTCTTTGTGATAACCAAAATTCGAAAGGTTAAATTTGGGTGTAATATGTTTTGTGTTTGAATTTGACGAGAATATTTAATCAATGGATTGTTGGTTCTTTGCATCAGACCTATGATTTTATGGAGATCTAATTGTATTTCTATCCAATCTTAATACTCTCCTCTATTTTTTTTGTTTTTTTTTGTGGGATACACATTCATTTGTGGGCCAAAAATTATGTTGCTGGTTCCGATTGTTATTGCATACATTATTGTATCAGATTGACAGAAGTATAAACTAACTTTTTCTCCATTTCTCTCGCATTTTCTTTTCTTTTTAAATCCTTATCTAAATTTATGATTTAAACACAACTTATATTCTCTCTCTTCCATCACCTATTGCGGGTTCATTCGCCCTCAGTACTATATTCTTTAAGAGCAGGCTATATATAAAACTATATTCTGATCCTTGGGAAAAAAATAAATAAGTTAGGCAAGGCTTTTAAAACATGGATTAAAACTCAATCACTTTCTACCGCTCTAGTTGTATCATGTTTAACTGGTATATGAGGTTGTTGTATCTCTCTCTCTCTCTATCATAATATTGTGTTTAGGGTTGGACTTTGTATCATGTTTATCTTACACTACTTTGTTGTATCTATCATTATCATAACAAAAATGTTATAAACCCACCCTTATTAATCTATAATTTATGTTGAATGTATGTGATGGAGATTAAATTGATAAAGTGTGGGATCCGTGAATAAAATAAATTTGAACCATTGATTCATTTTTTTAAATAAATTCTGAGTTCAGAAGTCTAAGTTTGTAGTATTATTATCATAAGTACGTGTGCCTCCTAAGTGTAAGTGTGAGAGAAAAAGGTATATCACTGTAGTAGTACACTCGTTATGTAAAATGTCACATCCAAATATTGGGAGATAAAAAAAAAAAAAAAAATTAGCCAATCAAATGCAAAGAGGGTGAAGGGGTGACCCCAAAAGGGGTCTCAACCTTTATTGTTATTTAAAAGTTATTTCTCACAGAATGGGTCCCATGTATTTTCCGGTTGAAGATGATCCTTATTGGATCCAAATCCAGAATTGGGATAGAACAGTGTTTACCTACTTATCATAACAAAAATGTTATAAACCCACCCTTATTAATCTATAATTTATCTCGAATGTGTGTGATGGAGATTAAATTGATAAAGTGTGGGATCCGTGAATAAAATAAATTTAAACCATTGATTCATTTTTTTAGATAAATTTTGAGTTCAGAAGTCTAAGTTTGTAGTGTTATTATCATAAGTACGTGTTCCTCCTAAGTGTGAGAGAAAAAGGTATATCACTGTAGTAGTACACTCGTTATGTAAAATGTCACATTCAAATATTGGGAGATCCAAATATTGGGACATAAAAAAAAAAAAAAAAATGTTCCAAACCAAAAAGCCCCAAACAGGACCATAGATTACGTATCAATAAAAGGGGAAGCTTGTACACTTTATATATGCAAAGGACTTGAAGATCTTTGGTGGGGAAAAAAGCAATACAAAGTGGGAGAATTTTCTTTTTTTTGATCTTTCATGAGAATGTTCCTATCAATTTTTGGTGCTCATCAACTTTGGTATCCGCAAAATCCATAATCACTTTTGGGTTTTGCCTTGTAAAGCCAGAACAAAAGTGACCTCTCCAAGATCTTCATCACCAAAGCTACAAGTAGAACTTTTATTTTTTTGAACTGTAGCTGCAAGTAGAACTTTGTTAGTGGAACACACCAAAACCAATCACAAACTTGAATTGCAAATTTGAATAGTAGAGAGTCAGTAAAAAAAAAAAAGAAAAAATAAGTAAATGATATTGAATTATTATTATTATTATTATTATTTTTTTTTAAACTTTTTCCTTCACAAATCTGATCCTAAATCTTGAAACCAAAAAGAGGTAATCCACTATCGAGCAACAAAGCAAAATGTGGAAGAACAAATTTGACTCCCTGTTTGTCTTCACATCATACTATTTCTTTGTAACTATTTATTTATTTTTTGCATGATTTAAAAATTGGCTATTGCTCTGCTCTTAACTCACACGAGTAGCTCGGTGATTAAGGAAGTAAAAATCTACATAAACTCAGACATTGTGAGTTTAACTCGAAATTAGATGATACTTATAATTTACGAATAATTATAAGTATTTTGAGATTTATTCTGTAGAAATTAGTCTAAATAAATTATTAAAGTTTTAAGCCACATAAAGTTAAATCTTTTTAATGGTCAAATACTCTAATTAATCATTTAATGGAATTGATTGAGGATAAATTCTGATACAAAGTGGATTAGCATTTCGTCCTGATTTTCTGAGGAAAACTTTATAAAAAAGTTTACTTTTTAAAATGATTCTAGGATGCCTTTTTATTTATTTATTTAATTAAAATATGCTCTCGTTTGGCTAAGATTTTGAGACTAAAAAAACATAAAAACACAAAAATAAGCTATATAGGGCAATAAGACAAAATATAATATTTAAACTATAATCATTACACTTTTATCTTTCATAAAAAAAAAAAAACAAAACAAAAAGAGACCAAAAAAATCATAACATAAAAAAGTTGACTAAAAAAATCAATACCAAACGAGCTATATACCAACCAAAGGCTCTAGGATGGCTTTTTATTTATTTATTTATTTAATTAGAATATGTATACCAACCAAAGATTCTAGGATGGCTTTTTATTTATTTATTTATGTAATTAGAATATTTATTCATTTAATTAGAATATGTATACCAACCAAAGATTCTAGGATGGCTTTTGTTTGTTTATTTAATTAGAATATGTATACCAACCAAAGGAATGGCATCTAGTGTTTTTACACAGATTACAAGTAAAATCTTAAAAAGAAAAATGCTATGCAATATGTATACTTTTTGACTTTTTATGAAATATGGGTTAGGTTTGGGTTGGGTTTGAAGTGATGTGTTAGAGAGGTGATGTGACTTAAATAAGATGATATGACTTAAATATGATAGTGATTTTTTGACTTTTTATCTTTTTTCAATCTACCCAAACTAAGCCAAAAGTATACCTTAAGGTCGTTGATTAAGAATATAATCTTTTTGCTAATAAAATAATTTGATCGTCTTATCTGCTTGCTTAACTCACCCAAAAGAGAGTTGAGCTCGTTAAAATTATACGTTAAACCAATTAATTATGTAAATAAGTTAAATTTAATTTTTTTTTTAAATTATTCAATTTTCAAATTAAATTTCAACAACTTATTGCATAGCTTTGCTTGGTTATGTATTTTAAAAAAACTAAATTGTTCCTACGTGGCATATGATCAATATGAAAAGTAAACAAGTTAAGTTCAAATACATTTTAAAACTCGTTAAATTTCCAAATAAGATTTCAATACCTTATTACTCAATTTGATTTGACTCATTTACAACCTTAATTTGAATGCAAAAATGACATTTGCACAATTAAAATAACATTGCTAAATAATCACATTTGAACATTTTTAATAAGTAAAATTATACAATTTTGATAATGTATCATTTTCACAACTGAAGAAGATAACTATGGCTAGGAATAGGGATGGTCATTTTTTTCCGCTCTGAGTTGCACCTTCATCCACTGCCCTGTGCCCGTCCTGTCTCATAAAGATTTTCCCCGCCTCCATTAAGAAGTGAGGCGGGAATGAGTTTTACTTTTCTCACCCCATTCTATCTGAACTCCGCCTTGATTATATTTATTAAATATATTTATATATATAATATATATAATTTAATTTTTTTTTGTTATAATAAAATTAAAAAACTAAAATATTTGTTTTTTAATCTTATAATTCTCATTAAATATAAATTATTTTTCATAATATACTATAATATGTATAATTTTTATTAATATTCTTATTTTTCTACTCACAACATTAACCCGTTTCCTGCCTCGCCCCGGCACCTATACCTACACTTGCTCCACTCCTGCCACAGTCCCTAATATGATATGCAACAAGAGCGAATTACTATAAATCCATTTCAAATCCGACTCATGACCATTCCTAGCTGGGAGAAGTGAGGTCAACCTCAAGATCTCGTTTGTTTTCAGAGATAGAATGGATGAAATTGTTAGTAAATGGATTAAATAAAATTGTGTTTGTTTGATGATAATTGTTACTGTGAAAATTGTTAAATTATTTTTATGTAAAATAATGAGAAACCATAGTTTTTCAAAACAATTCATGATTTTTTCTAGTAAAAAAACAAAAAACAAAAATTGCGCATGGGTCATCCTGACGTCGGATTACACTCTAATCCCAACAGATTATTTCTGAAAATCATTTCCTTACTCACACTACTAATTTGCTCCTTCAAAAACTTTCATAATCCAAACAAACTCTCAATCCCAAACTCCATTTTACAAACAAATATGAAAATGGTGAGCAAGAGATCACTAACAGTCCAATACAAACAGGGCTAAGTGTTGTAGACACCACACAGACACACAACACAATATGACACAAAAGGACAACTTCTACTCAAAGTGAGCTTATGAGCACTAACTACACTAAAAATAAAAATATACAAATATCAATTAAAGCAAAACAGAAAAACGCTTTTTATTTTCAAAAATGAATTCCGCACCATATTGTTTTGGGAAAATGCCTCGTAGCTCAAATTTTGTGGCTCAAAAGTGGCTCAAATGGCCAAAACGACGTCGTTTTGGCCATTTTTATGTTGTTCTGTACTCAAAATGACGTCGTTTTGGCCATTTGAGCCACTTTTGAGCCACAAAATTTGAGCTACGTAGCATTGTCGATTGTTTTGTGGGGGTTAGAAAACTTTGTGAATATAAAGGGTTTATGTTGTACTTTGGAAGTAAATATTAGATCTAACAATAGTATTAGTGAAAGTTTTTATTATATTTTCATTGTTAAATGTTAAATTTGACATGTCATGTCTTAAGTACACAATTTTAATTTTTAACAATCTTTTTTCAGATTTTGTGTCATTTTTTTAACATACCATTATCTCATCTTTTCAACTATAGTTAGACCATCTCCGACGCTTCACCAAACCTGGCATCAAATTTAAAATTTGGTGAAAAAGTCACTTTTTTGAGCTCCAACAGT